GTAGAAGTAGCAGCCACACGTGTGGTATTAGCAGCCACACGTGTAGTAGAAGTAGCAGCCACACGTGTGGTAGTAGTAGCTACATGTAGTAGTAGCAGTAGCCACACGTGTAGTAGTAGTAGCTACATGTAGTAGTAGCAGTAGCCACACGTGTAGTAGTAGTAGCTACATGTAGTAGTAGCAGTAGCCACACGTGTAGTAGTAGTAGCTGCTACACGTGTGGTAGTAGCAGCCACGGGCCCCGCACTTTCAAGGTCACCGCGCTAAATGCTTTCAAGCTATAAATTACGGTTCAGTGATTCTGCACTTGCTCTATTACTATAGTACTATACCGCCTTCAACTTTCACGAACGACTGGGTGTTTAAGGTTAGCGATTTGTCGTATTATCTGGCTGTTAAAAATTTAGTGTTTTAATATTTACATCATATGCTACAGGCCCCGCACTTAGCTTCATCCTGCACCGACCGCGGTGCAGCCCAAATCCCGGACGACGAACGTCACCTCGGCACCTCCATCGGCAGACGATCGCGCACGCCGAGAACTCAACAACGGCACGGGCAGGAATCCTCCTCCTTGAATTAAGACGCCCTGCTGAGAAGGTGTGTTGCCTGAAACGTTACCTAGATTTATGTTTCTTTCGTGCAACAGCAATCCAGTTCTACGCAGTGGTCTAGCGGCGGCGGTGGTGGTGGTGGCAGCCCACGAGTAGAAGAATGGGGTTGTTGCACATCTGCGTGTACTACAGAGTACACTTCACTGGTACCGCAGTCATCCCATGACAAGGCACAGTTCTGTGGGCGAGGGTTCAGTGCCACACCAGACTCCAGGCCCAGTGTCTACTCGGCATTCATGATTGAGTGTCTTCTTTGGTTCTTTCGGTAAAGTCACGTAGAATGAGAATAAAATAATAAATTGATAAAATAAAATAACACAATAATATTCTCACGACGTTTCGGCCACAACACAAGCGGCCTTCATCAGGTGAAGGGGCGAGACTGTCTGGTAGGACCGCGCTGGAGTGAAAGAGCCACGTTCAGATCACGGCCTTTAAGCTGTGTGAGAGGAACAAAGCGCCTTGACAAAGGAATTAGCATATAATTTAGCAAAAATAAAAATGATTGAGTGTCTCAAACAAGGCCGTAGCCATGGAGTCAACATTGGGGGGGGGGACCAAATCTTCCAGGGGGTCTGGGGGGTCCCCCCCCCCAGAAAAAATAAATAAATTTGAAAACGAATTTCCTGCCTAAAATTTTAAAAAATTCACGAACACATGGGATAGACTTTTTTTTTTACAATGTCTAATAGTGTATATTGTATTACATTGCTCTGTTTTTTCTTTTTTTACCTTTTCTTGTTTCATTGTATGTAATGGCAGAGATTAGGGATTAATAAAGTACAACCATAACCACAATCATATACACAGAAATCTATTTTATAGCAATGTATTGGGGGGGACATTTTGAGCATATTTATTATAATTACGACCTCAGTCTCAAGCATGTTTCTCCCAGGCCACTGTCAAGAAACACCGAACCCAAAGAATTAGAGCGTGCAGGAGAAATGTGCGAGCAAGGTTTATTCTACGCACGCAAGGACACGCGAGCCCACAATCATAATACTTGCTGACCGAAGCTCAATCCTACATTGGACTGAATATATGTTTCCACTCAATCATTCACTGGATGCCTCTCTTATGTACATATGTTGAACTTCTTTCGTACCGTCCGTTGCGAACCGTGCTAATCGGAGGTGCGGGGGAAAGACAACAAACTAAACACAAAAAACAGTTCTAAAGAATACTCTGGTTCTTTCGGCAAAGTCACGTGGGTATAAAATAAAATCAATCACGACGTTTCGGGCACAACACAAGCGTCCGTCATCAGGTGGGAAAGCGTGGCCTGCTGCTGCTGCTGAGGCAGACTGTTTTGAAATCAAGATTGAGTTCTAAAGAAATTCATTTTTCATCTAAATTTAAAAGCGCATAGCTCCAATGGCCTCCTAATATCGTAAGCAAGAGCGCTCGAGAAGGCCGCAGAAGCGCACCTGGATTCGCGCGATGCGGTGACCGTGGTTTTTCGATGGCTCGCCAAAAGCCGCTGCTGCGAGGATGACCGGAGTTCGTGTGATGATGGTTTATGTTCCATGACGAGATCAGCAAGGCATTGAGGTTCATTTGTGGCAAGCACTTTGTGTATAATGAGTGCGACCCTTAGAATGTATTCGTTCGGCAACCGGGAGCCCATGGGATCTTGCACTACAGGTCACGGACACGTGCCAGAGGGCTTTGTATACGCTGCAGCTCGGCAGTGTTTTGTGTTTTTTTTCTTTGCCAGACGTCGAGCGTTGGGGCTCACAGTCAAACGCTTCCGATTTAAAGTCCTAAGTCGTTGGGCGACTCAGCCCGTCATCTCTCCGGGGTCAATAAAAATGAATTCCCCTTTGAGGAAAGTCAACATGCAGTGATTGGATTGTGAACGGACGTCAGCCCAATTTAACACGTAGGCTTTCGCGACCAACAGATTTGTCATTATAAAGCAATGGGGGCTTTGAACTGCTGTCCCAGGCGACAGTAAGAGTTGTGGAGAAATCCTCCTGTTTCGGTGTTAAATAGAGGGGATAAATTGTGAGCCAATCAGGTCCGAAGGCCAGAGGGCGGCTTACAGGTGACATCACATTTATGCTTCCACGTAGGACCGAAGCATGAGGGTTTCTCCACAGCTCTGGCTGTCGCCTGATGAGGCTGGTTGTAATTGCTGGCAAAACGTCGTACCCGAATTGTAAATGTTGTGGATTTACCCTCCAACACCCCGGTGTTGCTGTACTCGTGCCGAATTGTCACGTTTTGTTTACGTGACAACCCTTGATTATAATTGGCTGTGTCTGGTGGTGGCAGGTTTAACAAGTTAATATTTACGCGATCTAAACCCAAAAAACCTCTATTATGGATAACATTGATCGCGAAAGCCTCCTACTACTACTACGAGGTGTTAAACTAATGTCCCAGGGTCACTCTCAGAGGTGACCACCAATGCTCCACTGATCAGGATGAGTCCTATTTGCAGTGGGATTTCTGTAAAGCGGCTTTGCTCTGCTCTGGATCCGCATCTCTCTCCTTGCTTCACATGCAGGGCACTACTCTGTGTTTATACCACGCAAAGAACGCAGAGAAAGAGCAACAACTCCTCTCTGGCCTTACCCCTTGTCTGACTCTCTCTCTCTGCTGCCCATCAGACGGTCACGTTCGCCCAAATGTTATTGATGGTGACCGAAGACCAACGATGACCACCGTGCATTGCTCAGGAGCCGTTTGCTGGTTTTGTATAATGCACGAAGATGAGTGGGTTTTTTTGTGTTCACGTTTTTGCACTACGGCTGAGCGCTTTGCACCACAGCAAAGGGGCCGTCCATAAATGACGTCACGCGATTTTGGACGATTTTTAAACACCCCCCCCCCTCGTCACACGACGTCACAAAAAGTCAGACCCCCCCCCTCAAATATGACGTCACAAAGCTCTGCCCCCCCCCCAAAAAAAGAATAAAATATGCTTCAAATCGCTTTAAACTATTGTCATTGTAGTGCGTATTTAATGTGCCGCTGCACTCTGATGTTGTAGGAGAAAACATTTATTTAAAAGTCTATTTAATTAAGTAGAACGTGTTGCCTATATTTATTTAAAGTTGCGCATTTTGATGTGACGTCACATTTCTCAACCTCCCCCCCCTCGTCACACATCGTCACAAATGTCTGACCCCCCCTCCCCCCCCTAGGTGCGTGACGTCATTTATGGACGGCCCCAAAGATCCCGGCGCACAGCTGATATGTTTAACATGCACCGCAGCTATTGCTTGCAGGTTAAAGCCACGCCAGTTACAATTACGACATTTGCGACTGAACTTTCAACACTAGGTATGTCATAAATCTACAGGGTGAGTAATGCCCCTGTTTCTGGAACCAAACCGATGTTCACGGCACAGGTCTCGCGGTGGTGAGATGTTAACTAGCTCACGTGGTATACAGTAAGTTGTGGGTTCGATCCCGATCCTGACGCCCATATATTTGGAGATTGCAGGTCTCCCTCTCTCTCCCCCCTTTGTCGAGTGGATTTTTTCTGCAGGACCTTCGGTTTCTTCCCCTCCGCATTTGGAATCAACATCACGCGTTGAGGGTTTATTTGGCTGCTGTAAATTTGCACATGATGACGATAAGCGACTTCGTTGAGCAATATCACGTGGCCAGGTCGCGTCTGAAAAAAGAGCTACATAGCTCAGTGGGCCTTACCTGGTCAAATTATAAAAATATGTAAACACATATAACACTAAAAAATATATAATAGTTTAAAAATATATAATAGTTTAAAATATATTAGTTAAAAATATATATAATTGTTTAGGACATGGCGCCACCACGCGCCGCCCGTCCCAGCTCTCCCGGTCGCAGTGACAGCTGATGGCCGGCTGGGGGCGGTCTCGCCGCAGCCACACGGGGGAAGGGACAGAACCCCATCCTCGCCCCGTGCCATCTCAACCTTCTCTCAGCCCCGTGCCATCTCAACCTTCTCTCAGCCCCGTGCAATCTAAATCTTCTCTCAGCCCCGTGCCATCTCAACCTTCTCTCAGCCTCGTGCCATCTCAACCTTCTCTCAGCCTCGTGCCATCTCAACATTCTCTCAGCCCCGTGCCATCTCAATCTTCTCTCAGCCCCGTGCCATCTCAATCTTCTTTATGCCCCGTGCCATCTCAACCTTCTCTCAGCCCCGTGCCATCTCAACATTCTCTCAGCGTCGTGCCATCTCAACCTTCTCTCAGCCCCGTGCCATCTCAATCTTCTCTCAGCCCCGTGCCATGTCAACCTTCTTTATGCCCCGTGCCATCTCAACCTTCTCTCAGCCCCGTGCCATCTCAACCTTCTCTCAGCCCCGTGCCATCTCAACCTTCTCTCAGCCCCGTGCCATCTCAACCTTCTCTCAGCCTCGTGCCATCTCAACCTTCTCTCAGCCCCATGCCATCTCAATCTTCTCTCAGCCCTGTGCCATGTCAACCTTCTTTATGCTCCGTGCCATCTCAACATTCTCTCAGCCTCGTGCCATCTCAACCTTCTCTCAGCCCCGTGCCATCTCAACCTCTCAGCCTCGTGCCATCGCAACCTTCTCTCAGCCCCGTGCCATCTCAACCTTCTCTCAGCCCCGTGCCATCTCAACCTTCTCTCAGCCCCGTGCCATCTCAACCTTCTCTCAGCCCCGTGCCATCTCAATCTTCTCTCAGCCCCGTGCCATCTCAATCTTCTCTCAGCCCTGTGCCATCTCAACCTTCTCTCAGCCTCGTGCCATCTCAACCTTCTCTCAGCCCCGTGCCATCTCAACCTTCTCTCAGCCCCGTGCCATCTCAATCTTCTCTCAGCCCCGTGCCATCTCAATCTTCTCTCAGCCCCGTGCCATCTCAACCTTCTCTCAGCCTCGTGCCATCTCAACCTTCTCTCAGCCCCGTGCCATCTCAACATTCTCTCAGCCTCGTGCCATCTCGACCTTCTCTCAGCCCCGTGCCATCTCAATCTTCTCTCAGCCCCGTGCCATCTCAATCTTCTCTCAGCCTCGTGCCATCTCAACCTCTCAGCCTCGTGCCATCGCAACCTTCTCTCAGCCCCGTGCCATCTCAATCTTCTCTCAGCCCCGTGCCATCTCAACCTTCTCTCAGCCCCGTGCCATCTCAATCTTCTCTCAGCCCCGTGCCATCTCAACCTCTCAGCCTCGTGCCATCGCAACCTTCTCTCAGCCCCGTGCCATCTCAATCTTCTCTCAGCCCCGTGCCATCTCAACCTTCTCTCAGCCTCGTGCCATCTCAACCTTCTCTCAGCCCCGTGCCATCTCAACCTTCTCTCAGCCCCGTGCCATCTCAATCTTCTCTCAGCCCCGTGCCATCTCAACATTCTCTCAGCCCCGTGCCATCTCAATCTTCTCTCAGCCCCGTGCCATCTCAACCTTCTCTCAGCCCCGTGCCATCTCAACCTTCTCTCAGCACCGTGCCATCTCAATCTTCTCTCAGCCCCGTGCCATCTCAACCTTCTCTCAGCCCCGTGCCATCTCAACCTTCTCTCAGCCCCGTGCCATCTCAATCTCCTCTCAGCCCCGTGCCATCTCAACCTTCTCTCAGCCCCGTGCCATCTCAACCTTCTCTCAGCCCCGTGCCATCTCAACCTTCTCTCAGCCCCGTGCCATCTCAATCTCCTCTCAGCCCCGTGCCATCTCAACCTTCTCTCAGCCCCGTGCCATCTCAACCTTCTCTCAGCCCCGTGCCATCTCAACCTTCTCTCAGCCCCGTGCCATCTCAACCTTCTCTCAGCCCCGTGCCATCTCAATCTCCTCTCAGCCCCGTGCCATCTCAACCTTCTCTCAGCCTCGTGCCATCTCAACCTTCTCTAAGCCCCGTGCCATCTCAACCTTCTCTCAGCCCCGTGCAATCTCAATCTTTTCTCAGCCCCATGCCATCTCAATCTTCTCTCAGCCCCGTGCAATCTCAATCTTCTCTCAGACGCGTGCCATCTCAACCTTCTCTCAGCCCTGTGCCATCTCAACCTTCTCTCAGCCCCGTGCCATCTCAACCTTCTCTCAGCCCCGTGCCATCTCAACCTTCTCTCAGCCCCGTGCCATCTCAATCTCCTCTCAGCCCCGTGCCATCTCAACCTTATCTCAGCCTCGTGCCATCTCAACCTTCTCTAAGCCCCGTGCCATCTCAACCTTCTCTCAGCCCCGTGCCATCTCAACCTTCTCTAAGCCCCGTGCAATCTCAATCTTTTCTCAGCCCCATGCCATCTCAATCTTCTCTCAGCCCCGTGCCATCTCAACCTTCTCTCAGCCCCGTGCCATCTCAACCTTCTCTCAGCACCGTGCCATCTCAATCTTCTCTCAGCCCCGTGCCATCTCAACCTTCTCTCAGCCCCGTGCCATCTCAACCTTCTCTCAGCCCCGTGCCATCTCAATCTCCTCTCAGCCCCGTGCCATCTCAACCTTCTCTCAGCCCCGTGCCATCTCAACCTTCTCTCAGCCCCGTGCCATCTCAACCTTCTCTCAGCCCCGTGCCATCTCCACCTTCTCTCAGCCCCGTGCCATCTCAACCTTCTCTCAGCCCCGTGCCATCTCAACCTTCTCTCAGCCCCGTGCCATCTCAACCTTCTCTCAGCCCCGTGCCATCTCAACCTTCTCTCAGCCCCGTGCCATCTCAATCTCCTCTCAGCCCCGTGCCATCTCAACCTTCTCTCAGCCTCGTGCCATCTCAACCTTCTCTAAGCCCCGTGCCATCTCAACCTTCTCTCAGCCCCGTGCAATCTCAATCTTTTCTCAGCCCCATGCCATCTCAATCTTCTCTCAGCCCCGTGCAATCTCAATCTTCTCTCAGACGCGTGCCATCTCAACCTTCTCTCAGCCCTGTGCCATCTCAACCTTCTCTCAGCCCCGTGCCATCTCAACCTTCTCTCAGCCCCGTGCCATCTCAACCTTCTCTCAGCCCCGTGCCATCTCAATCTCCTCTCAGCCCCGTGCCATCTCAACCTTATCTCAGCCTCGTGCCATCTCAACCTTCTCTAAGCCCCGTGCCATCTCAACCTTCTCTCAGCCCCGTGCCATCTCAACCTTCTCTAAGCCCCGTGCAATCTCAATCTTTTCTCAGCCCCATGCCATCTCAATCTTCTCTCAGCCCCGTGCAATCTCAATCTTCTCTCAGACGCGTGCCATCTCAACCTTCTCTCAGCCCCGTGCCATCTCAATCTTCCCTCAGACGCATGCCATCTCAATCTTCCCTCAGACGCATGCCATCTCAATCTTCTCTAAGATGCGTGCCATCTCAATCTTCTCACAGCACTGGTGGAGAAGCGGCATCTTGTTGCCTTGGCAAGATCCGTCCTCACCTGTAATTTTTTTAGATAGTAAATGTCATGCAAAGCGAGCCACAGGACTGCATCGTTTATCACCTCCTGAGCAAGCGCAGATTATTCCACCGTTCTCCTTTTCGCCACGAGCACCGCTTTGTCGACATTCACCAAAATGTACCCTTCGTGCGTATTGACACGTGCCACCTTCATAATGTTAACTACAATCCGTTAAGTTAGTATTTGTTCCCAATTACTCTGGAAGGTCACCCCGTTAAGAGACCTCCAAAGGATCTCAGTGGTGGAAATGGGCCGGACGGCCCCTGCCGAACAAACACAAACTCCACTCTCGCTGCAGTCCAGCAATCCTCCCCAGAGCTGAGAGGTAAAGATTCCCCCCCCCCCCCTTGCCAATCGGAGGTGCGGGGGAAGAACAAACTAAACACAAAACTCAATTCCAATGAAATTAGTTTTCAGTTGTGTTTATAGAACACGCCTGTCAGCTGCACTGGTGGCTCAGTGTGCTACCACAGTGTACTCGGTGTGTCACAGTGAACTCGGTGCAGGTTGTCGACCGCTGGGCTAAGCGGACAGAGGGCGCACGGCTCCCCCAGCAGCTGATCCTAAACCACCCCCTCAGCCCACCCTGCTAGAAGGCCGACGAAAACATTGCCGCTTTAAATAAATAAAATATCTCCTTACCGGTGCCCGTTTTGTTCGCACGGTTCCCAGGAGGGACGTACGAATGCCACATCGCGTGACGTCGTGACCCTGTGATCTCGCCCAGTTCGCTGGAGCCTCCACTTCAACCCAGCGAGGGTCCCACCGACGGTTCGTGATCGGTGCCCGGGGCAGGATGATGGTCGTGGCGGGAGACTCCACCTCTCGCGTCGAGCGGTGGTGTCACAGTATGAACTTGACTAAACGGCTTTCTTTGTTTTGTATCAGCTAAGGCCCACTGAGATGTATAGCTCTTTTTCAGAAGCGACCTGGCCACAAATGATTTGCCAACGAAGTGGCTTACCACGTGGAAATGTATCACAGCCACATCCTCTAAAACGCTTGATTCTAAATGTGGAGGCAAAACCCGGAGGACCTGGAGGAAATCCACGAGACCACGGGGAGAGAGACACCGCAAACTCCAAATATACAACAGGCGTCAGGGTTGGTATCGAAGCCACGACCTCCTGTACACCAGGCGAGGTAGTCAACATCTCGCCACCGTGGGGCCCTGTTGAGCTCATGAATACTTCACAGTGAACACTAGCATCGGTCTTTACCAGCGAGATATAAAGTACTCGACTCCGTCCGTGTACAAGCAGAGGCGGGCCCTCGACTCGCTGCCAACAATTGGCGCCCTCGGTGGCGAGATGCCCTCGGTGGCGAGATGCCCTGGTGGCACACGGCCGCTCATGCTGAGCAGCCCCAATGCGTACTTTCGGCCGTGCATACGAGCCTAGCAGAATGCCACTTAAAACCCAGCTCTGTTAAAGGGAGGTTATGGGGGGGGTGGGGGGGGAACGCCAACCTTTACAAGCCCAGGAGTTCCAAACAGCGAACGACGATTTTAAATAAATAAGGGTAGACACGTGGGTTTTTATTTCTTAAAGAGCAATGAATTCCGACACTTGTGTGTGTATAAAGTGTATGTGTATAGTGGGGAGCGGTAGTGTAGCGGTTAGCGCGCTGCGCTATGAACCCGGCGGCCCGGGTTCGATTCCCACTCACGGCCAACACCAGTGACGATTATCTTAACCAGTCCTGGGCCTCCCCTAGGTCGACTCAGCCCTAAACGAGTACCTGGTGCGGTGTGTAAACATCGCCACTGGGGAGACAAAGGCGAGCGAGCGTGGTGCTGGCCACCAACCCCCTCGTGTGCCGTTCCGGCCTTCATAGGTGCTCGCTAACGGCACTTGCCCCTACCGTCTGTTAAGGCTATACGGGGGATCTTTGTCTTTGTATGACGTGAACTCAGTGTGTAGCCACGCCACCACAGATGAAGGCCCGGAAGCTGCGCGGCTCCATCGCTCCGCATTCCTGCCCGGGGACTCGCTCCCAGTGGGTGGGGAATTGGAGAGGAAACCACGCAAAGACAACAACAATATGCAACTCACCTTTCCACAATCGCTCCGTGGCAACGGCCGGCTCGCCTTCAACGATCTCAGCTCTTGCTCGTGCAACGAACGGCTCTTTTTTTTTTGAAACGCAGGATGCTTCAAAAATAATGTTGACACTTTCGAGAATTTGCAACAACACCACGTGACAGGTGCTGCTGCCTCCGGGCTCTGGAGATCACCTGGAGAAGATTCCAGGCGTGGAGACTCTTTGACTCTTTGAAGCTATTAACATTACATTTGTTTATATTCTTAGTTTTTTCGGTAAAGTCACGTTGAAGAGAAACAACAAAATAATAAAATATATATAAAACAATAAAAAATTCTCACGACGTTTCGACCATAACTCAAACGGTCATCTTCAGGTGTGTCGGTTTGCATAAATTTATTTAGAAACGGCGCATTTATTTATATATATAAAAGACGTTAGCGTCACGCGCAGCGATTTGGCAGTTTACCCAGGACTAGTCCATCTATATTTTGAAAAGAGGAGGGGGGAGACGAAATTTTTTATAATGTATGCTGTCTGAAAGCCAATGTAAGCGTGAACAATCAATTAAGAACTGAAATGGTTTATCAAATCTTTCCAATGATTGCTAAGATAGAATCCACCTTCTCGGTTGAAATTGTCTCTGTGCTTGTATATGTGGATAGCCTCATGAACAAATCTCTTATGGAAGCCAGATGGCTTACAAAGAACCTCTGTCTTGGAAAAGTCAATGGCATGTGAGCCTACTGAATTAGAACAATGATCTGCTACGGCCGAGGTGTTGGTCCTACCGTGTTTAAGGTCTGCTTTGTGTTCACGAATGCGGTCCGAGACATGGCGTTTGGATCATTGTTCTAATTCAGTAGGCTCACATGTCATTGACTTTTCCAAGACAGAGGTTCTTTGTAAGCCATCTGGCTTCCATGAGAGATTCGTTCATGAGGCTATCCACATATACAAGCACAGAGACAATTTCAACCGAGAAGGTGGATTCTATCTTAGCAATCATTGGAAAGATTTGATAAACCATTTCAGTTCTTAATTGATTGTTCACGCTTACATTGGCTTTCAGACAGCATACATTATAAAAAATTTCGTCTCCCCCCTCCTCTTTTCAAAATATAGATGGACTAGTCCTGGGTAAACTGCCAAATCGCTGCGCGTGACGCTAACGTCTTTTATATATATAAATAAATGCGCCGTTTCTAAATAAATTTATGCAAACCGACACACCTGAAGATGACCGTTTGAGTTATGGTCGAAACGTCGTGAGAATTTTTTATTGTTTTATATATATTTTATTATTTTGTTGTTTCTCTTCAACGTGACTTTACCGAAAAAACTAAGAATATGAATTACTGCAGTCACGAAAGCTTTAAATCAAAAATTGCATTTGTTATCATGTTACAATGCGTTGTCCGTACTTTTTCCATTAAAAACGAAAGTCCCATGTAAGTGTTCACATTGTTTTGATGCATCCTGTATAAATCACATTTTCAATATTTCTATTTCACATGCTCACATCATACACTGCAACATCCTGGCGTTCTGGGGCATCGACGACATCAGGCAAAGCGGATTGATGAGAACAGAGGGGGTCCCACGAAAGACTCTTTCTGACACTTGCCATGGGAGCTGGTCACCAACTTATTGCGACCGCGATGGTGAACGCTAAATCAGCCATGAAGCCCCTCGCGAAGAATGTTTGAAACACGTGGCATTGCAAGTTACATCTATAATTGAAAGTTTGTATATCTGTTGGTATTATTAAAATGTATTTCAGCGATTGTTCAATGTTTACTATCAAATGAGTATAGCGACCGCGTCTCGTCTCCCGCCTGTATAAATTTGCTCGAGTCTGCGAACCCCTCCGTCGCCCGATGTCACTTCTCCGTGCGTGCCGCTTTCGTTTCTATTTCGCGGTCTCTACCGCACCTCAGCCCAGTCGCCGACTCTCCCCAAGCAAGCGGGAAGCGTTCCTCAACTCCTTTGGTGGGCCAAGAATCAGTGGTGGAAATTCCACATTCCTGTTGGCGGGAGCTCAGTCTTTTTCCACGTGGATACCAACCGCGGTCGAGCACCCTTGACAGGGCCAGAAACCCACTGAGGTGCGATTTGGCTCAGAGACGAGAGGC